ATATGCATCTCCGTTGCACATGGTCCCTAAGAAGGACAGCAACGATTGTCGTCCAACTGGTGACCATCGGCGATTGAATGCGAAAACCGTTCCCGATCGTTACCCGTTGCCTCACATTCACGATTTGACAGCTACCTTGAAAGGTACAACTGTCTTTTCGAAAATCGACTTGGTTAAAGCGTATAACCAAATCCCTATGGCTACTGACGACATACTGAAAACAGCTATCATAACTCCTTTCGGACTCTATGAATTTTTGCGAATGCCTTTCGGTCTAAGAAACGCTGCGCATACATTCCAAAGATTCATATACGACGTTTTTCGAGGTCTCAACTTCGTACATGAGTATGTTGACGACTGCCTAATCGCAAGTCCGAACAGAGAATCACATCTCAAGCATCTGGATCTTGTTTTCGAACGATTACAAAAACATGGCATTACTGTAAACGTTCAGAAATGCCAAATCGGGACCGACTCATTAGACTTCCTAGGACACACTATAGATGCTCAAGGAATCCAACCCCTTAGAACCAAAAGTGGCGGCAATTCTGGATAACCCAGAACCGACCACGATCAAGCAACTACGAATGTTTAACGGCCTGGTAAGTTTCTATAGACGTTTCATACAGAAATGCGCATTACTTATGAAACCTCTTACCGACCAACTTCGTGATATTGCGAAATCCATTAATCTGGACGAAACCGCACGAAAAGCATTCTCCACAATTAGCGAACCTATAGCTAAAGCAACAATGCTTGCACATCAGGACACTCAAGCACCCATTAGCATCGCAGTAGTCGTATCCGACTGAGGAATCGGAGTCTTACAACAATGGGTTAACAACTCTTAGCAACCTTTGACATTTTTTTCTAGAGGGTTGCTAGACAACGAATCGAGGTACAGCACATTCGGTAGGTAGCCATGTATTGTGCTTTACGACATTTTCAACACTACATCGAAGGCCGTGAATTCACCCTTTTCACTGACCATAAACCTTTTACTTTCTCTTTAAGCTCATCTTCAGACAAGTACTCACCACGTGAGTCTCGACAACTGGACTACATTTCTCAGTTTACTTCAGACATCCAACATATTTCTGGAGCAAACAATGTAGTTGCAGACGCCTTGTCACGAATAAATTCCTTGAACAGTTTCCAAGGAATCGACCGTCTGAAACTCGCCCAGCTTCAAAAAGAAGACACTGATCTTCAGCACGAGTTATCGTCAACAACCCTTAAACTACGCATCAAACAGATGGGAACAGGTGAGGAAATTTTACTTTGTGACACATCTACAGGTAGGGATCGCCCAATCGTCCCGAAACATTATCGACTCAATGTCTTCAACGCATTGCACAAACGTTCTCATCCAGGTGTTCGTGCAACCATCAAGCTTATAGCAGAACGGTTTTGCTGGCCTAATATGAATAAAGACGTGAGAGAGTGGGCACGCTCCTATGTAAGCTGCCAAAAATCTAAGGTCATCAGACACAATAAATGTCCCCTAGGCTCATCTAAAACTCCCGATGCTCGTTTCGATCATGTTCATCTGGATTTGATAGGACCTTTACCAGATTCAAATGGATACTCTTACCTCTTAACCTGCGTAGACCGTTTCACTCGATGGCCAGAAGCAGTACCTATCAAGGACATCACTGCTGAAACAGTGGCCCGCACCTTCATCGAACAGTTGCCCTTCAACCATCACTACAGATCGCGGACGTCAGTTTGAGTCCGAACTTTTCCGTCGTCTGACCACACTATTAGGAAGCACTCGCTTCCGAACGACCGCCTACCACCCACAAGCAAACAGGTTGGTAGAACGATTTCACCGACAACTAAAAGCTTCACTATAAGCTGCAAACGTTTCCACTCTTCTTACTAGGTATCCGCAATGCAGTGAAAGCTGACATTGGATATACTGCAGCTCAACTCGTTCATGGAACGACACTTCGACTTCCAGGAGAATTCGTGGATCCTTCATCCTTTTCAGTGAACATGGAACTAACCTCCTACAAGAACAGGCTTACAAACGCAATGTATTCAGTTAAACCTGCTTCCACTTGACCACAATCAACCGATGTTTTCGTCCAACCTGACTCACAATATAGTACACACGTTTTCGTTCGTCGAGACGCACATCGACAACCATTCGAATGAACATACGAAAGATCTTTCATAGTTCTTTAACGCGAATCTAAGTACTTTATAGTCGATAATAACGGAACAAACGATAACACCAGCATAGATCGCCTCAAAGCAGCGTATTTAGAAGGAAATCCTATTCACGTCGATTTCCCTTCGGTACAATCGCACAACACGACTCTTACGCTTATAATATCCCAAGCGACAGGCAACACACACGATGATACTTCAATAATATCAGAAAATAAACTTAAGACGACGCGTTCTGGAAGAAGAGTAAGATTTCCAGGACATTTAAACGTTTATTGCACGTAAGGCAATGCTTGACACTTTATATTATCTCGATTGTTCTTTTTACCAAAGAACAATTTTAATACGCTTATATATTTATATTTTTATTTCAAAAAAAACAAAAATTAATTTTTTTTAACGATACTACGTGTATATGAGTTCATTTTCCATTTTTTTCGGCGGCATTGTGTTTTTCGACATGCACTTACATTTTCTTCTTTCTTTTCCAGGACGGCTGGAAAAGAACGATGAAGTTTACGAAAAGCCAAAATTTTCATTGTACTTTTTCTTTTTTTACTGTACTGTACTTCATGGAAAGATGACCAGACGCTGCCAAACCTAGCAAGCTATCAGAAGAGTGTTTACCAACGACGAAACTCGTTTTGTTTAAACGTCTGGCTGGCCACGTCTTAGGGTCATCACTACCCCACTAGAGGGGAGTGATCTGTAACGGTAAATCAATCCCCAAAATAAATAGCTCTGTAAGTTTTCGACATTGGATGCTGACCAGATTAGTTTTAGTGGGCTTGTAGAACTTATGGTCTACTATGATATTAGTACTGCTCTAATAATAGACCTAATCCTAAATTTGTAGATTTGTCATGATATGACTGCCTAATCTATAAGATCTTACGTGGAAGTCACACCATCGACTACACCAACTCACTGTATCGTATCAATTACCAATACATGATGTAGAACAAGGTTAGGCTAGAGAAAGAACAATATATTTAATATGAAAAGAAGATATAAGGTAACATTCAGCAGAGACCACGCCTGCATGGCCGAGCCATGCCGCTCGATCAACTTTAGTCTATTCAATTCATTATTCGCGCCTTCTCCATCGTTAGGTATTTCTTCGCGTTAAATATTGAATACCTATTTTCCGAGTAATCTCGTATTCAGCTTTGAGGATAGTGTGGTTATGGTCCAATGCCACTACAGGCTCACCTAGCTGAAGGCGCTCGGTCATGCATCCGTACCAGATCACGTGTGGGAACGCCGTGCTCAACATCAACTGTTATCGCTAGCCAGACTAGATAAGATAATTCCGATATATTGGCAATCGTCAAATACAACCTTTGATCTCCTCGATCCTGTCTTCTGATTTCTCTTGGTGGGTACGAGTTATATTAGGTGTCACTGGTAAAAGCGTTGTCAAACACTGAATACCTGTGCCATCTTCAACCCAATCGCTTATTAGCTTGAGACGATTGGTTAGTCTGCTAGAACCAAAAAGCGCCAATCCACCATATATTTCCTGATTGTCTGTTAAATATCACTCTATGTAAATTCGTCACTGATAATTTCCACTTGACTATAGAGAGGAGAATAATGGAAAATGACAAACTGGGAAACCCTTATCTATGGACATTACCTTAATTAATTTTTAATGTGAAATCGTCAACTTTCGGCATATGCTATATCCATGATTCCCGACAAACAGTTTTGTTTTAGCTCCAAGATCACGACAGAGTAGAAGTATCTTTTGTTTATCACTGTATAATACTTTTATATTTTTATACAACCGGTGGCCCACGTCGTATTGCCACAATACTAGGTACTCCTACGATATGCAATGCACAAGCAGGATCACGTCACACCAGACACACGGTTCACGGTCAAATACAGAGAACTCGGTCATAGCCCTGACGATATTTACTTCAATATGATTACGAGAAGTTTACATCCCGACAATCCAGAACAGAAATTATCAATGGAAATAAATCCACGTATTTAATAATCAGTAAACCAGATGTCTATGTATATATGATCAGTGGCTGTTTACTCTTTACTTTCACTAGAAACGGATCGGACCCATAAACCGCTATCGTACTGTAACAGGAGAGAGTCGTATATAGGGTCCCTGGATTTTCTTGCGGGTAATTCAGTCTCATAGTATCATACTCCCAGAGAGACATAATGGGGTTCGGAAATCATATAAGTGGATTGTTCCTGTAAGCGCATTATTTGTGAATGCTTCAAGATTCTACTCGCTAGCATTATGTACTTGTTCTACATAAAACGAGTTTCTATCCAGTCTCGTCCATAGAGTGTTTGTGGTGACATTTATGTGACAAGCTAAAAATCCGCAAACTACTTTTATATCTAAGGCTTACCGAGTGAGGAGAAGTGCATTTATTCCGAATAAATCGCGGTTTATGATTTACGTTACTCATCCTGACTTCCGTATATGTCTTCATTGCTATTTAGTTATAGCCCATAGTTTAAATAGCTGAAGAATTTAATCACACTTTAGTCTCTCTGCTTTACACTTCCAATCATGTCATTATTGCTCGACGAAAGAAACTAAGGCAAAGCTAGTGATAACATAAATTCCTTCGCCCTTTAAAAGAATGATAAAAAAATTCGAAAAATGAAAAAGAAATATAACATTACCTACTACAGAAACTTTTTCATGTAAATGGAAAGGATAACGCTATTAAATGTTTTCATGGACCAGAAATTATCCCTTGACTGCATGAACAAAGGGATGATAATCCGTACTTCGTCACTACAAAAACAGTAGATGTGCAAGAATGTCAAGTGTTTTAATCTATCGTACTGCTTAGGCGCTGTCGTTGTATCTCGCGGAAGCGTTCCCGGTTTTCTTCATCTTACATATTAAGACTTGTAGTGGCACACTTCAAACTGTTCTCATTTTTGTTAATTTTGATATAATGGAGTTCTAAATATGTGTCCTATGTACTCAAGCCAATCTGCAATAATCTTCGAGAGAAAAACCCTTTCCACCGATGGAAAAGTCACTAGTGCGCTTTCCTATGAACGCTCAGCGCCCCAGCAACTCCGAAAGAAGAGGTTAGCTACTATATAAACCATAATGATTTTGCAGATGGCAGAATGTCCACCAACCTGCCGGTATCTTTATCGAGCCGGAAGTCCTTCATAAACAGCTCCCAGGCCAGAAACCGACAGTCAAAACAAAGTTCCAGACGGCATGTCGATTTAGTGACTAGCTACAAGACAAAGCCCAGTTGTGCGCACATTAGGTGTTCAGAAGGTGAAAAGTCACTTGAAGCCCATTTAGATGGCTATGTGCAAGTCTCGTGAGTTATCTATTTAAAACTGATTCCATTATTAGGAGCCAATTTGTCCTAATTCCTGATTCTGCATACTTGAAAACCAACTATGACGGGACCCCTCCACAATGGGAGCAGGTCTCGTTTGTAAAAGTCCTGAACAAAGGTGATCTAGTGTGTCCCATATGTCTCTATTCGCCCATCACGCCACGAATGGGTAAATGTGGACACGTTTACTGTTGGCCATGTGCATTACAATATTTAAAATACGAAAATGAATCGGATAGCAAAAGATGCTCTATCTGTCCATTCTTGTTATCATTCGATGAGCTCAAGAGGTAATACTTTGTTTTGTTTTACGAATAATATAGGGTATCCCTAACCCATATTACTCCAACGAAGGTTGGCGATAGCATATGCTTGACGCTAGTTAAGCGTTCAGGACTTCGTGTAACTCCTCTTTTATCTCTCCAAACATGTGAAGCTACCATTGGATCCCTTTTTGGATGTGTTTGCGTCACCGATCAAATAACACTAAAAAACATTCATGAGTCAGAGATCGATCAACTTCGTACGTATAGAGCTATTTGTGAAGTAGATGGAAACAACACAGAGCTGATTCCATTCATTGACTTTGCTTTCGAAGAGCTGAATCGCGAAGAGATGCTTCTAAAATCTTGCAGTACCAGTTCATCTAAGCCTTGCAAATCTTGCAGTCAAGATATTAATGGTGTTCCCACAAATGAAACATATTTTTACCAAGGTAATTGCAATTTTTGCTGAAATTCTGTTTAGCTATGGATAGCCAACCCATTTTCTTAGATAGCCTAGGGTGGCGATGTCTACTAACGGAGTACAAAGAAACACAAAATCTTCCGAAGGAGATTGTCGCAACCGTTGTATCAACTAAAAATTATCGGATGAACTCCGTAAGTCACAAGTATTTTTTAATTAAATTATGGCACCTAATTGGTATAAAATATAACACTAGTCTTAAAAAGAGACGTATTACGGATTCATTTAAGCATATAATCATTTCTTTTAAGCAATAAGGCCGAAATGGAACTCTAGTTTCTGGCTATTCGAAATGCTCAATAAAAACTAGTTTCCAGATAAGTTCCCGATTTCTAATTTCACCAGTATTGTTGTATTAGCGTGCTTAGCTCATTACACTGTTCCAGAAACAGTAGATGATTGAGTAGAAAAATATAGTTCATCTACGTTCTTCGGGTGATATCTATTCCTGAGTGAATATTTATACATAGTTTTTATTTAAAGCAATTAGTCTGATAATTTTTTTAGTGTGATAAAAAGACGATTATAAGAACTGTTATATATTAGCGCAATACCTTTCGAACAGTCTGATCACACATATGCTTGTTAAGAACATTTATGTATAAAAAATGAAAGGTCAACTAGACTAGAAATAGAGGGTAAGAGGAGACAAAAATATTAAAGAAATAATATGAAAACAATTTGAAACCTCATCAATCTGGATAATAAGCTAATATTACTAGGGTAGGTTTAAGGTGAGGACAAACTGCTTTTAAATACACGTATGGAGTTTGAATTTTCGTATGTCGAAGGTCTCAATAAACCTTAGTATACACTTTTTCACATTTTTGTACACCAAAAAAGCTAAGATCAATTTTATAACTTGTTTTAATTATGTGTTTGGCAATAGAGAATGATAGATGTTTATCCTCTAGTTTTACTGGGCCATTCGATTCCATTTGTTTCTGCAACCATTTAGGCACATGTTCACACACCCTAATTTTGAGATCACGATCACTCCTCCACACATTTAAATTGGTAAACATAGTAGGATGTAACGCACTTGTTTTCCTATCCTTTAGGTTTTCGATGAAGCATGCATCTGGTTCTTGCTTTGATAATGACCTTTACTGCGCAGTACGTTTTATTGATGACTGACTTAAGTCTTTGCTTCAATAAAAGGCTATTTCAATCACCTCTGAATGGTAAGGTGATGTAGACAGGCTTTTTCCGCCAAGACTGTAGTAGGTCTCACTGTACCATGAACTTTCCATCTATTTATGAATTTAAGGGGATAACCGTTTTCCATTAGTGTTTTATTAAGCAACCTAACATTATCATCAATGGCATTTGTGCAAATAAGATCAAATCTGTTGAATAGACACTATCAAACAGCGTTTGTTTTGCACGGGGCAATAACTATAATAACTAAGGTATTGACCTGCGCACGTTGGTTTTCTAAAAATGGATCGTTTGATTTAGCCATCTCGCCTACTTATAAGTATATCTGGGAAGGGAAACTGGTCATTCTTCTCTTTATCGCATGAGAGACTGTGGTTTTGGAGAGCGCTAAGTTTATTCAATAAACAATTCATGTCCTCCTTTCTTTCACAGACAACTAAAATATCGTCCACACATTTCTTATAAACTGACATGTTTTCGATTAGGTTTTCAGCTAGAGTTTCAACATATGCCATGAACACATCTGTAAATAAAGGTCCTAACGGACTACCCGTAGCAACCTCATCAATCTGGCGAAAGTATTCACATTCAAAAGTGGATTGAAATTTGTCAGTACATAATAGTAGTAAATCTTTAAGAATTTTTAAATGAACAGGTAATTTAAGGTTGTTTAAAGATATGTAGTCACATAATATGTCGATAGTCTTTTTTTTAAAGGTATATTTGTGAACAAGGAATTCACGTCAAATGAACACATTATCTTTTCCTTGATATTGATATCACCTAAATGATCGACCAATTCAAAAGAATCTTTCAGAGAATACTCACATAAACATCTTCGGATAGGATCCAGCAATTATGTTAGCCATTTAACTAAGTTATGTGTAGGTGATCGGCACATTGATAAAATTGGGCGTAAAGGAATGTTTGATTTGTGAATTTTAGGTAGTTCATGTTGCATTTGGAAGTATTAACAAACGGGAGGGAAGAGTAAATTCAAACTTAGAAAAATCGCTACACATGAATATTATTGATAAACAGAAATTTAATTTCCTAAAACCTATGGGTTCTGAAGTACCCTCATTTATATGGACTAGGGGAAGATTCCACTCCTCCATGCGACTGCATCTCCTGATGCCGTTCCTATACTTTGTAGATTGGCTTTATGGTCAAGGGCTCGGGGTGTGGCCCGCTATGAAAATCACCTGCTTCAGTTTGCGCGCTTTAGCAGCATCACAGCCCTCATACAAATCGAAGTGTCACGCATATATATATATATATATATATATATATATATATATATATATATATATATATTTGACGCCTACATGTACCTATATTTGTATCTAAATAACAACGATAATCCAATCTACAAGGCAGTTGGACGACGTCAGATGCGGCCCCATGGCAACCGGTAAGCAAAAGTAAGTTCATACAACATTGATTTGGAGTCAGTTTTTCAACTCTACTATTAGACAAGCCCTCCACATCGACCAACCCGGTTACAACACCTCTACTGCTAGAAGGCATTGACTATATTCGTGGTTATTTCGGAGTATCTATACTTAGTAGTTAAATAAGGTTTGATAATCACGGACCTGTTTTTATCTTTTCAATAATAATTACTATTAAGAATGTTTTCCTACCATGTTTTTTCTTTCAAGTCCTTACGAAAACCTCTGAGGTACCTGAGCCACTTACCTGATGGATACGCCTTCAGTTTAGTGGAAATCAAGCTAGAACCACCGTTGGTATCTGAATTGACACTATCTCACTTTGCCACATCGTTGAATAACCGCGCATTGGAGCGAGATCGAAGTCGTCTCGAGGATCTGAAACTTACTGAGTTAAAAAAGGCAGCTGAAAACCAATTTACGTCACTGCGTAAGATAACTGTTAATGGGTTGGTTTTTCTTTTATAGATAGGTGCATGCTATTTATATATTTAAGGGAAGTGGTAAGGCAGTGATACGTTCGTATCCAAGCTTTTGCTCTTAATATCTAATCATTAGTTCAGCTCGTGACCAATCATTTTTCATGACTTATTACAATATTTACCAAATTCGTTCATATTATAACTTTTCTATGGTTTGCTTTAATGAAGTATAACCGAATAAACCCCTTTCCCCATATTTGTATCCTGATAACACCATTTTACCAAAATAAAATAGAGACGTGCAGCTCAGGTGAATGATTTTGAGGCTGAACTGGTGTTGGCCACTATCTGAAAAAAATGACTGAATACGTTAGCTGTGTATAAGATTGAGTTTTAGTTGGATGTCGAAAGCTATTTGTTTACTCATTGTTTGTGGTGTGTAGAACATCAAATAAATGCGCCTAAACGAGACTGCAGGACAACTTGTTATTAAGTAGGTCTGGTTAAGTTTTGCACATTAAAAATATTACGACACTTATTATGAATGGTAATTTGTTGAACATTATCACTGTATTCCTTTCTTTAATTTAGGTATACGCAATAAATGTCCAGATGGCTTCAGTCAATAAATATTTATAACTTCATCAACCCACTCCCCACTTTGACTAAGATCCTATGTCTAACCTCAACATTGCCTCCTAACCTGACCCATAAAACGTTAGCAATTATGGTTTGTAGGAATGTTAGGTAAAATCTCAGAGTCAATAGTGGTTATCGTAAGGATTTCCGTCCTAAGCGTAATATCCCTTAGTTTTTCCCCAAATTAATTTCCGGTGAGTTTTTTTATCTTGCCATCCGATTGCGAGATGTGATTCATACAAGTGCCCCTACTATAAACACTCTGTTACTAGAGTCTTCAAACTGCTAACGTGCTGTAAGATCAAAAAATCTGGATCTACAGATTTGGACAAAAAAGCGAATCATTCATAAGACCAATAGCCTCTCCTGAGGTGAATAAGCCCTTTGTTTTCTAAAGTAAATCACGATTGACTTTGACGAAGATGGACCATGCTTCAATATGACACTTTCCAAATTAGAAAGTGGGATAGATTTATCTTAAAGGGACTTATGGATAAAAAATATCTGTAACGTGTTTATTTGGTTCATTAAGATGAACTATCATTGTGACTCATTTGTCCAGAATATTTCTATCTACTGAGCTTTGAGAAACTCAGTTTGCAAGTAATCGATAATATCAAGCTGTCTGAAAAATAGATGGGCTCAGGTTCGTTTTAACTTTAGTTAACCTCCCATTATTTTCGGTTATAAATAGTCATACCAGGAATTTCTCTGTTCAATTCGACTGATGTTCCGTCAGTCATCCGAGTATTATGCAGCAAAATGTGACGACCATAAAGTAAATAATTATACAGTTTGTCGTTCTTATGACCAAAGTTGGTTTGCAGGCAACACTTGTGGATTGCCTTTGGGTCGATAAGGTGTAGTCTTTAAACATAGAGAATGTGCAAAATCCAAGTATTCGGTGGTCCTCTTCGCGTGTGAGCAGCGAACCTCTGTCGATGTGGGTACTTGGAGCATATGATATGAGGTTATGAATCTTCATCGACTGAGATGGTTGGGCCACGTGTTACGTATGCCTGAACACCGATTACCACGTCGTGCAATGCTAACAGGTGTTAGAGATGGTTGGAAGAGAATTAGGGGCGGCCAAACCAAAACGTGGCGTCAGTGCTTGAAGACACTAACCTCTAATCTGAGCCATGTTGGTAGATGTAGACTACTTGGTTGGGGTCCGCGTGACTTTCGTAACCAATGGTTGGAGACTCTTGGTGACATGGCTCAGAATCGGTCACAATGGCGTCGGTGTATACACTCCCTGTCTTCCCTTAAACTTAGAGATTAAAGTCGCTTCATATCTTTCTTTCTACAAACTAATCCTATATTCCGGTACTGCATCCTTATATGCAATCTTTCTCCTATATATTACCACCTTTAACCTAACCACTCCTATGAATCCGGTGTTCATCTTGCTGTGCTAATGAGGTATGGCAACCTGGACCGATGCATATATGTGCCTGGTCCTACGTTGTAGCTGACTGACTGACTGCAGGGTAACACGCTTGAAAGGTACCTAGATCCGTGAGTATCAATCCATCGAAACCCTGGTCGTTGGTCAAAGCAGTGCTGGACGGTACAGGCTTATTGAATGGTGTCTGAAAGCTAGTCGTTACCTATGGTTAGAGTAGTCGATTAACGTGCTTGGTTATTTAATCGTGTTTTTACTTTCTTACCGTTTAGTTTGTCACCCCTCGTATTTTAGCTCCTTTCCATCTCAATTTTATATTCCTAGAATGTAGGTAATGTTAGTGTAGATTGATGCACACTTATGTGTCCAATTCTGTATTGTCCCACAGAATAACAGCCTTTAAATACATGCATAGAAAAATGATATTCCATCGTTTTTCCATAATCATATTTTGTACCACAATTGCATTGTTTCAGTGTATTGTACTAACGTATTTTCTACGTAACTTTCAGCTCCAGGTTTTGTTCTCAGCGGTCATGCAACTTTATCAGATAAGCAAGGTAGGTTATCTATTGTTCTAAAGTTTATGTTTCATAGAAGTACAACTTGACCCCTCAAATTTTGTCCCACTCTCAACTACGACGCAAAATATAAAAGGGAAAAAAACTTTACCAATCAGTTTTGCTGAAGTAAGTACTATTTCCCATCCATTTTCGTGTATGTAAAAATGTAGTAGACAAGAACGATTTAATACAGAGGTTGGTGGGTGGGTTCTAAACACGTATTAGGAGAAAGTGACAGATTTTATTGCCGGCCAGTTTCTAATGGATTAATTTTCGGTGTATAGAAGTAATCTCTTTTAGGTTCGGTCTGGTTTCGCACTTACAATCTGCTTCAGGAAGATATTTAGCTACTAGTCATTAGCGGGTGGGTATACAGCACATCATTCTGCCTCATGCTACAACACTGATTTAATGCAGCTCCAAATAGTAGAGGATTTTCATAACAATTAATATTCCAATCATGTATGTCTTTAGTGTATTTCTTGTGTGTGATAGAGTTGAGGTTAGTCACAGTGGAACTTATTTACTGAATATAAGTATGTATGGTCACATTTTAATCACTGTACTTGTGAGTGCTAGTGATAGTACTCAGCTGCTCAAACCGTAAAAGGTGGAGCGAGAACTGAACTTCAGTAAAATTTATCAGCTAGGCCTTATTATCGTTTAAGTGAACTGTTTTGGGGTGCATTTCTTTTACTGAAAGTTCTACTTTCTACAAAATATACTTTACGTATTTAGGTTTCTCGCTCTGGCGCGCTCAATGTTGTTGGTCCAGATCGTGTTGCCCATTTCTCGCGAAGTCCTCCGAACCCAACAAATCCTAGACGCTTCGATATCAATTCCGAATCTTGGCCTACCTTAGGTGAAACTTCGAAAAGCTGAAGAAATATATTAAAGAACAAAATCGACCAATCTCTAGTTTAGTCGGACAGAAAGCTTGAGTGCCTGGCAAACTATATTATATTTTCCAAATAAAACAGAATTTTTTTATGGCTCGACAAGCCAAACTTCAAATGAAGTGTCTGTTACTCTTACTTAAAAAGTAAACGGATATGCTTACAAATTAGTTATTTTATTCAGCTGGTTATATCAGCTTGGTTGGTTGTGCATAGTTTGTTGATTAGCTTTCATTACGATGGACATGGCAAAGCATCCAGTTCTTACATCCTGTTATGAATATTGTTTAGATGGACAAACTGTAAAAGCCTTAGATGACGGTTAAGTTATTTGGTCCCCAGAAAAATATGACCATTATTAAAAAGTGTATAGTACAAAAACATGTAAGGGTAATTGACAATACGTTTGAAACTAAAACGTACAAAATACATTCTGTTTGTCTCTCTCACAAGAAATAACAAAGCATGTAAGTTTCCTTCCTCATATCTCATCAGCAGAAAATCACGTTGACAGTTTATCACTCAAATAGAATTATCGTGTACCGAGTATAACATTACGCCAAATCGTTAGGTAAGTGAATCAGTGGAACGGCACCCGACTAAAAATTAGAAAAAATGGGGCGAACTTTAATGATAATTTATTTAGTAGAAACAGAATGTTCCCTTGATTTGTTTTGTGTTAGATGCATCACTTTTCGCATTTGTTTCAAGAAAAACTGACTTAAAGTTTATATATATATATTACAAACTGAGAATTCTCACACATGTTCTTCATAGCCAAAGCGTAAAGACATGATCACTATTGAGATTTACTCGATACGGGACAACTTAAACTTTTCTTAATATTCTCAAATTACAACGTGAAGCCGTTGTTTGACTTAATCGAATTATCTCAAACTACATTACACACTAAACAAACGCCCAAATAGATAAACTATGAGGCGACCGATCGCACTTAATATGAAAACTTACAATGAATCCCATCATCGGTCCATCTAATTTCCGTGTGTGTGGTGCTATTCTTGAAGAAAACTGGCTTAGGCATGCTGAGAATCCAATGCACGTTTCCCACGGCATATGTATTAATGTGACTCCGAAATCTTTCCTCCATGAATCAACCAACTGTGCTGTATTCCTGTAATTGAAGAATAAAAAGTTGTCTTTATGACAAAAGTAAATTGAATTGATAGTTTGAAGAAAATCCGTAGGCTAAATATAACTGCTAAACTTGTAGTTGTATAAAAAGGAGTAGAAGTCCTCAACGAGCTAACCCCTTAAATGGTGAGACAATTATTTACTGTCTGTGTACTTTCGAACTAACTGGAAAAATTCGTCATGCCAAAGAATCTTCACTATTAATGACAGTTTATATTATATGATTCACAGCGATTTACAATACACCAGATATTGGAGGTCCTACATCAGAATAATAAATGGAAATCCACTTGTCAGCATTTACGGTCTCAGTGTGAAAGATCACTTTACATTTTAGAAACACTACATCTACTTAGCGAAAACTTCATAAGAAATAAGCAGAGGTGGATGGTGACTAGCAGCGGAATCCAGGACGCGAGTTTCGTCGTATTCGGGACTCGTTAGCTGAATGAACCTGTATTCCATAGGTGTTCAAACAAACAATACAAAAATGAATTCAGGAGAAATAGTTTTCTAGAAATGTGGATGAAATAGTGTTCACAAAATATGTGAGTAATTTGCCATATGCGTGTTTTGTGTATTCAGTCTTGAGACAGTGTGACAGGTCATTGAAAAACTACTCAATACCCCAAACGGAAATAGGTTTACCACGGTTCGGATCTTTAACCCAGTGATTGTAAAGGTTAAGTACTTTGATCACCGCACCACCGCTTCATACTCATGTCTAAGAACTTAAATCCGATCAATTTCTTAGTTGATGCACTAACCAAATTCATTTTTCAATTTGAAGTCGCAGCTTTGTAAACAGATGATAAGATTTTGACAAGACCCGATTCAATAGCTGAATATAATATGCTTATGGCATTTAAACGAAGTTATTGTGAACTCATGAAATCACTGGGTAGTACCAACATATTGTCAACGATGATAAATGATCATTATCTACCGAAAATCTAGATACTATCTAGTGACTGAAAACAACTACAGCTCCGATGATCCTCAACCTATTTATTCAATGTCATGAAATGTAAACTGTTGTAAAAGACAATTTAACTATGAGGTGGAAATATTTGGGAGCTATTTTTCTAAGGTTTTATTTATATTTGTTAATTCTATGTTTATTGAGTATTTTGGTCTTAATATTTGCATACTATCCTAGTTCCAAGCTTTTTATTTGAACGGTAAATTGTTGCTATAGCATTTTCCTCTCAGACTAGAACCGATTATTTGTGTAACCAGTACTCAGTTTTTTTTCCATTAATGCTGCTGTTCAGTTTTAATACTTTTACTCGATCGGTTTGCTGTGTGATCTGGTCTTGTATGCATATAAGTTGATGTCTGAAATATAATAATGATCTTGGATTGGTGATTATTGGTTTTCTGTTTTTTCTCTTCATTCGGGGCTAGTTATTATTGAAACAAACGTCAAGCATAGAGTATCAGTTCTCCTCATACTTGCCGCGTATTAGTTGCTTAAACCAACCGGCAAAATACCCGATAGACAAAACTCATTGAAAATTGTCTACAACTGATAATATTAACAAACGGTGACTTGTTAAGTAGGGGATGTTTGAAGATCCCCAGTTGAGAGGACTAAATAACTTTTGATTTCCACTGGTTTTTCGAAGTTGATATCAGGCGTTGATGGAAGCCTCCTTTATGTTTATTAATCCCCTAAAACCCTTCAATATTCTCTGGTCATACACTGTCTGCCTAGCTTTTTTCCCCATTAATTTTAATCCATAACAGACTACTACTAGTTTACTATATTTTATACTTATCGAGCAAAAAGTAGTATTCCAACATTTGTGTAACAACATTGCATTGATCAATCACTAAGTAGTGACCAATCTTACGTTTGACTAGCTTTTTGGTGCCGACTGAATTATATCGATCAACAAGTTGCACTATTTTTTGATGTCATGTGGTTTGAAGTACTCAACAGGAAACAAAGGACCTAAATTCCATGCTAGTTGATACCTGTGAGTAAGGTATGTTTGTGTGTCAATTCGATCGAATAGAATTCGATTAATGCTAAGGACTAGACAAACATGGCATCGGTCATCACTCGATGACTAATCAGTGTGAATATTTCAGTCCTACAGAAAGTTATTCACGATCCAAATAGCTCAGTAGTAATATTTTAAATTGTGGGGCTTTGTGATGTGGGAGCACCGCTCCCCTGAATATTGCACGTTCGCCTTAATGGAAACAAGGACAATACTTAGGCCCAGAATTTCCTGGAGAATACCTTCAACCACATAGCATTATATTGCTTCTTCAATATAATTGAACAGAAAGTCGAATAAAGGGGAAAGTTTGTTTTCTTGAAATGATTAATTTGTGTTTATTTACCAAATACATATCACTGATTATTTTTCTACTTCAATTAATATAATGGATGTTACCGAAATATAATATAAAGATCATAAAATATCGACTTAATTTTAATAATATTAAAAGAAATTTCAAAGGAAAAGACAACTTACAATGAACAATTATTATTCGGTAAAAGTTGTTGATAAAATACACGACGACAAGCAATCGGTTCAATTTTCACAGAATATATAGTGTTTTGTTTATCCTTTCCTAATGAACTCTCATTTACATCAATTGTAGGTGAAGTACAATCTTGTAAAGCAGTTGTATATAATCTTATTTTTTGGTCAGGTAACCAAAGCTAATAATTATAGAATTTTATCAGAAACAAAAGAAAAACTGGATTATTTTTTAAAGAAATAACACTAGTAATAAAAACTTTGAAGCTTTTTTTGTCCTAAATTCACTAATCCCGATGACCCTAAAAAATACAACAATCATGTGACTAGGCAGCACATGTCTGTTTCACTTGTATACAATGAGATGATTGAAATCTTTGGGTTATGTGATTCATTGTAGGGATTGGATCTCAACTATCTTATGAATAATTATGATATATGTTGTCAGGTTGAAATCTTATATATATTTAGATAGCTACAGGTCGTTTTAGATTTAAACCCAATAAATATGTATCTATGATTTGAACAGAGATTTAATCTAGGTTACAACTAGTCAATTTTCAAATCACTTTTATTACGACTAGCATGATTCATTTTAAATTACATGATGAACAGTAAAATTTCTTGACATATGGTTATATCTTTCACCAGGAAAGAATAACAACCAATGATTTAGTTATGCAGATATTGTGAAGACTAGTTTGATAGGAGGACAGTTTAAATGAGGAATTACAGGAAATTGAGTAAGTGGTAAGTCGTAACTGATGTGGCTCAAACATCGAGAATGAAACAGTTAGCACCGATGATAGTGCATGATGGCTGGTAAAATATTACTAAATGATTGATAGGAATATGAACGTAAGTACTCCACCAACTCATTGGTTCATAGTTTTTATGTTATTCTACAATTTACTATTCCCTGACCACGATAATTCACTCGACTCTTTCCAAATCAGAACAATAATTGAGAGAGAACAAGGTACATACCGATAACCTGAACAAAGAGATGTAGGAAAATAGGAAAGCATGCAATAGTTAGGAATCTAATCTGTTAACATTTTTTCTTTTAAAGAAATTTATAGGATATGTTATTCAAATCCACTTGCATCAGACTGTCCGATCTGTGCTTATACTTTATTTTCGGATGGAAAGTATTGTACGGTGAACAGTGAACGTTTTGTGTTTAATTTTAACTTACGCTTATGCACATATTGGTATGTGAATAACTTTCTTCCTTAAAGCTCTGTAAATTTACTTGATGAAAATCAATGAATATTTAGAGGAAACAATTGAAAACCAATGCACTTTATACACTACAAATATAATTTTTCAACGAAGACATTTCAAATATTTTCTGAACTAGCTCCATTTAGAAACAAGTAATTGATTTTATTTTATTTATTTATTTAAACACATAAACATTGGTAAAAGGAGGCACCAAATAGATATGCGCCACATAAACCATTCGATCTGTGTGAGGGCTGTGATACTGTCCGGGTGCCCAGACCGAAGC